TGTGTGTGTGTGTGTGTGTGTGTGTGTGTGTGTGTGTGTTTACACTGAGTATTTCTACGTCCTCTCAGGTTTTGTTTGCCAGCCGTCACCACATCTCTGTGACTCAGCTCTTTGCACTTGAAGCTGAAGTGTTGGAGACTAATGTGTGATGTCTTCGTCACTGAACTCTAAAAACATCCAGAATTGTTTCCATGAGTCTTCACAGTCGATCAGGGAGTCGACAGACTCCTGTTTCTGTTTGTGTCTTTATTAATATCTTTTCTACGGAGCTTTGTAAAGTCTGAGGAAATGTGTGATGTCATCGGGGTCACTCCGCCTCTGGCTTGAGCAAAATGATTATAGTTCTCAACTTCTACGAGGCAGGGAGGGTCTGGTGAAAGTTGCATTCTGGGAAGAGCAGGATGCAGCGTTATTTGAATCTGGACCCTCGAATGTCAGGACATCTCATCTTCTTCTGTTTGGTTTCTCTTCCTCCACCTTTTACAGAAGTGAAGCGATGAAGTCGTTTGTGCAGATTCAGCTTCGTTGGGAATTCAGTCCATTCGACTCTTTGGTTTTGTTTTGGACCAATAAAAATCCAGATCTTGTAAAGAAGCAGGCAGACAGGCCTGTTTGTCTCCTGCAGGCGTCTGGATGTCAACTGGCTGTTAAAGACTCCACACACACTGAGTTATTGTCCCGAGCTGCTTGTCGAGCCAGAGTTACCTTGGCTAGCTGTGTGTGTGTGTGTGTGTGTGTGTGTGTGTGTGTGTGTGATCACACAGAGCTGGTCTTTGTCTCAAAGGATCGGGTTGCACCAAACGAACAAAGCATCTATGGTTGCCTGTAGTGACGGGAGCAGGTGAAGTGAAACTTTAGACCGAAATTAGTTTAGTTTATGCTGTTTGTGTGTGTGTGTGTGTGTTTGTGTGTGTTTGTGTGTTTGTGTGTGTGTTTGTTTGTGTATAAGAATAAACTAAGCTGAACTGTTTGAAGACAAAATGCCAGAAATGTCCTCAGTCTTTTGTTTTCTTGTGTCGTGCTCTCTGATAAACAAGCTGAACCTCTACAGGAAGTTGTCCCACAGAGAGACGCTGCGGGTGAAACGTTTGGAGGACAAAAGACAAAGTAACTGTGATGGTAAATAATGGTAGGGAGGTAATTCTAGTTTGTCCCCTTGTGTTTTCCTCCACTTAAGAGATTTGGTTTTGTTTGTTTGTTATTTATTTGGATTACGTGAAAAACCTTCCATGGGATTTCCATAATGGGAGGAAGGATGTGGTCTGTGTGCGTGGATGGTAAAAACTTTCTGGAGGACAGTGGTGCACACAGCTAAACAATGCAGCAGGTTATCTAATCTGTAATGTTCATTATATAACATGCAACATGGGGGCTGTAGCTGAGCGGGTAGAGCGGTCGAATCCCAGCACATGTCCAAGTGTCCTTGGACAAGATGCTGAACCCCGAATGGCCCCTCTTAGATGTTGGACTAACTGGAAGTCGCTCTGGATACAAGCTTCAGCTAAATGTAATGTAATTATGTAAATAATTAATAACAGCACCAGGACAAATTAGAATAAGTCCTCCCCAGTCTCGATAAGACAGAGCGTCTAGATCTTCTGTCTCTGTCTGTTTGCAGGATTCTGCAAAAGCGCGGCTGTGGTTTGTGTCAGAGAAGAACTCATTTAATTATAGTGTTGATATTCAGGATCCGTGAGTGTTTTACTGACGACTTTGTGAGATAAAATTATTTTCTACATTTTAATTTCACAGAGAATAATTCATGGTTTTTGATGACGTCATGTTGTGGGGAGCGATCCAAATGAAAATCAGGTTGTGGTGAATTGAAATGTGGTTTCTGAAGGAGACGGTTGGGTCTCGATGGACGCATGAGCTCGACTGAGTGACACATTGTTTTCATGATGGTTTGCACTTGTTCCGGCTGCAAACTGAATTCCCACAGATACAATTATAGATTTTGACACACACACACACACACACACACACTCTGTTTATGACCTCACTCATCGTAATCTTTACTGACACAAATTTACCTGGTGATTTTTGTAGGACTTCATCCTGCGTGGGAACTGATGGAGGGACAGAGCCTCCCTTTAAATACGAGAGAGAGAGAGAGAGTGAGTATGTGGGAGGGAGAGAGAGAGAGAGATGTAGTGTGTGTGGGAGAGGAGAAAGAGAGCAAGAGAATGAGAGTGGGAGGAAGAAAGAAGCAAAGTGGGAGGATGAGGAAAGTGAAGGACAGTTCAGTGGAGTGGTCAAAGTGTGCAGCTGAACATGATGATTCACACACACACACACACACACACACACACAGACACACACACACACACACACTCCTTTGTTTCTGATGTCTCACACACGTTTCATTAACAGTTTTGGGTTTTTTCCAGATACTGTTGCTAAATCAGTTCCTTAAAAATAGTTCTGCTGCCTAAACGTTCCCAGAACGGATATTTCTTTCTGAGCAGCTTGTTGAGAGAAGTTAAACTGAGAGTTGGAATTTAACATAAGATATAACTGTAATGTTGGAATGTCAAAATGAGAGAGAGAACAGCTGATGACGCTCGTCGGCAGCAAACTGACCATTTTGTGTGAACCTCCTTTAATCCTACGATCAAACTTCAGCGACATCATATCCAGGCCAGAGGTCGAACCTTTATCCACGTGCACGTCCTTTAGTCTCAGGTGGTTTGAAGACCTGATCTGCTCATGCAAGAAGAAAACGCTATGAGCAGTTAATTCATCGGTAAACGAGGCGAGCGGGGGTGGGGATGACTGAGTGGAGGATCTTGACCTTCAGGATCTTGCGTCAACTTTAAACTACTGTCAAGACAACACAAGGCAGCACTCTGTTCATCTGGGAAGTGGTTCGAGGTTCACAGGATGAAATTCAAACTCTCAGGTTTTCTGGGTTTCCTGATTTAGAATCAAAAGGCTGTTGAGGTGGAGTGTGTTCCTGTCCACCCACGTCACGCCGGCGTCTCTCAGTTTAAGCAGCAGCTCCATTGTCTTGCAGACAAAAGCTTCGAATCCACACTCCCTGATGCTGTTTTTACAAACGCAGAACCACGAGTTTATTTTAAGGTCATTATCACGACCTCAGAAGGTCAAGTGAGATAATCACAGCAGGGTGGTGCTTTTTAACGTTTTGGTTTTCTAAATGGATCATTGTCTCTGCTATCGTCATCGTCCTGGTGGGTCTGTAACTCAGTAGATTTATTCTCGGCCTGGAAACGTCTCGGACATGTTTCAGGCTGCTGCCGTTTGTTGTAAAAGTGAACTGAACGTTTGTTTTACAACTCGAACAAGATCTATGACAAGTCAACGTCTCGGGAGGTTATGTGTGTGACCCTGCTCTTCCTCTTTGCAGACATTACCCCAAGACATCGTTCACCATCGTGGCCGACACACCAGAGAACCTGAGACTGAGACAGCAGAGCGAGCTGCAGAGCCAGGTCAGCACACACACACACACACACACACACACACATATGTCCTCATGCTGTGTGTGTGTCCTCAGTACAAAAGGACAGATGTCCACTCAGCAGTGTGCGGTAGGGAGCGTGCTGTTTGTCATGTGCTGTTTGTTTGTGTGTCGCTCTCAGTAAACATCCATTTATTTCAGTTGAACATTATATTTACAGACCTGAGATTCACTCGTCCGTCTCTTCTGTCCCCGTCTCTCGTTCTCTGTTAAGCTTTGAGCAACATGATGTGAGTGTTAGAAACAAGACAGTTGTTTTCATTTACTCTCATAACAAAATTCACATTTTTTGATATTGTGAACGTGTTTTCTTCAGAACGCCTCAAGAGAATTCTTTCCGATTTGGCACAAAGTGTCACTAAGACTAATGGATGAACTGATCAGATTCGGGGGGGTGAAAGCTCAACGGTCAATGTCCCTGCGACCGTACAAAGCACATTTCTTTGTGAACACAACATCTAGCTCATTAGCTTGTCATATTGGCTCAGCAGGAAGCTTACGGCTGATGAATGAGGATTTAATCAGCTTAGTAGTGAGAATGGGGACAGTCACAGTGAAGCAGAATACCAGAACACACACACTCACACTGTCTGAGTCACATTTCTGCAGTTTACACCCTTATGTAACTCTGTGCCGAGGGAGAGAGTGATGAGCGATAGACACCAGCAGGACGACGTGATGGCTAAATGAGCTGAGGTGACCGTCTGATGTCCATTACTCGTCTGTGATCAACATCAAAGTTGAGTTTAATGCGTTTAAAGTCAGTCAGTGTGATTCTGGGAATCTATTCTGGTTCTCGAGGGCTGGAGATGACTTTGTATTTTTTAAATAAGATGCTAATATGATCCCTGAGTTTCAACACAGGCACCAAAATATCAAGAGAGTTTTTTAAACTCTTCCGCTGCGTCTCGATTCAGGAGCTGCATCCTTAGTCTGACTCAACCGAAATGTGAGTCCCGCCCGTGAAGACGTCGCCTAGCAACAGAGCTACGGACGATTAAGAAGAAGTGTTTTTAACTTGTGGGCTCTTCGCTGTTTGGTTACTAAAATAGTTTGTCACAGAAGAGCAAAGAGTCGGAAGGACGCATTTGTCGGAGCCTTCGAATCGGAGCGGTCCCGTCGCGCCGCTGTGACAAACTCTGTCCACAACTGCAGCCTCCGAAGGACGCAGCCCACGAACTGAGAAACCACTTTAGTTTGCAAGTTTTAAAGTTTTTTTCCATTGACCAGATGACTTTATTTCTATTGGCACGTGAAGAGGATTTCAATTAGACCGTCATCACCCAGTGTTCCCCTGTTCTCTCCTGCAGGTGAAGTATAAGAAGGACTTTGAGGAGAGTAAAGGCCGAGGGTTCAGCATCGTGTCCGACACTCCGGAGATGCAAAGACTCAGAAGGACTCAGGAGCAGATCAGTAATGTATGTGTTCACGCACACATTGTCCTGGTGTTGTATGAGCGAGTGAGTGAATGTGATGAGAAGGATTTACGTGAATGGTATGAGGAGGGGTGCACTTAGTTGGTGAGCAAAGTCACACACACACACACACACACACACACACACACACACACACCATGGAGCCCTCCAGTGTTGCCGACACCAGACGTTTTGAAGTGGAGCTTCGTCTTCAACCTTCAGCGTAAGTGAGCACGAGTTTTTGTTTTTATAAAATCAAGTTGGCTTCTTTAATCAGTTCTTAGTTTAAGACTATGACGACAAAGTGTAGTTTTTATAGTGTCAGGATACCGAGGATTACGTGAGTGATGATGAAGGCGCCTGTAGTCGAGTAAACGATGAAGAGAACACGTCGAGAAGTGATTCGAAGTTAAAACGAGGATGGTTAGGTTGGCGTCAGTGCTGTTGCTATGGTTACCGGCAAGTTTTTCAAGTGTTATTTGAAGTGACCTGTTCGGCCTCAAGTCATCTCAGAACTTTAATGAGCGATGATCTGCGTTGTTGACATGTTCCTGTGTGTGTGTGAACGAGTGTGTGTGTGTGTGTGTGTGTGTGTG